ATTATAATTTACAATCTAAACAAATAATCAATTTAGTAAAATATGTGATGCCATAACATATATATTGTTAAGTATTTCTTGTATAATATATTACAAGATCAACTTTTGCTGCAAGTCCTAAATTTAAGATGATGAACTATTAGAATAAATAACTTTAATCTATACACTGCAGTATTTATTTACTAATTAAAGGAAAATAAATGTTTATTTATGTGTTTGATTATTATACATGCAAAATTAAGATGTAATATTACCGCTTGAATATTTTTGGTTTTTGTTATTTAACTTTCGCCGTATTACTTTTATTCAGTTTGTATACATATAAACATGATCATCTTACAAACATTTTGTAATCAAAAGTTGAATGTATCCGAGACCACCGACCTGTTAGTTATTGTAGGTATATTTGTATGCCATACCATAATATGTATCAACAACTGTATATTTAATTTTAGTCATTCAATATTTATATCATTTAAATGTTTTCCATTATAATAAGTATTTAAAACTATTAGTTATTAGATGTTTGTAATTTTTAACACTATATAATCATGTTTTTTGTGGTGTAATAATGGCCGATTATTTGAAATGTACCTTTACGTATGACAACTATATTAATATTTACATAAATATAAAATAACATTATATCGTACTTTAAATTAATATCTTTATATTCACTTGGTATAATAATATAGGTATGTTACTACTGTTACTAGTGTGATCGTATAGGTACTTATATTATGTTGTTAATAAGTTTTTAAAAATTACTTATTATTGATTAGTCAATTTTTATTTTTATTCAGTAAATAGTTAAATAAAGGTATCGTTAATTTTCTTTAAGAGGAGGACGTTTATGTATTGTATTGTCTCCGTCCAACATAACAAAAACTTTTTTGCGCGAGTTAAAAAACCACTCAGGCTGTTATGATAGTTATAGAATTCTAAATTGATATTATATAATATTAGGTTAGCTGAGAACATTATCTGTGAAAAATCGTTTTTATTTTTTTAATATCACTTATACGAATAAAGTTCTTACTGTTTCAAAATCTATTATTTTTGTGTTTTTCAAACTTAAATATTTTTTATCCGTAGTTCCGAAATCAAAAAAAAAAAAAAAAAACGATATTTTTATGTGGTGGAAATTTTGTGTATTAATTATGTCTGTTGCGTTCTCGGTTTTTTTTTGCACTAAACTGTTTTTGTTATGTTATACGTATAATATTTGATTTAATAAAAAATGTATGGTTTAGTATGTTAACTATTTACGAACATTTTMTATTATAAATTTAAAAAAAGATCATGTATCATTATTCACGTATTATAGTACATGACTTTTAATTTTACGTTTTAAACTCTGAGCGGAACGAGAATGTATTTTCTACATATGTTTTATACAAAGATGTTTATTTTTATTTTTTATTCTGTACTTAAACACTTTTTATCCCACTAAACTTGCTCAAAAGTATCAAATGTAGTATCTTTTTTGAAAGGTAATGTTCTTGAGCTGGTACTTTAAAGAAGTCATTTTTCGATTTTCGAACGGTACTCAAAATAAAGGCAATTAAAGGAGAAAAACGTACGATTTCACGATTTTATAATATTAAATAATTTATTAAATAATTACGGACGACGTTTTCTACCCGAATATTGGTTCAAATGAAAAATGACATGAGATCTTTTTTTTTTGTATTTTGGATTTTGTTTCTTACGRTTTAAAGTTCGGAAAATTTAAGCTATTTTTAAGCTATTTATAGATATTTTAATTTTGGGAGTTTCTTGTTGTAATTCAGTTAAAAACATTCGTAAAAACTTGAAATTTGGGTTGTTTACTTATATATTTACTTGCCTAGACATTGTAAAATTTTCAAAACATTTGAGCGACTTTTGAGCTTTTTCTTTTTTTTTTCGTTTTTATGATATTTCCTAATTATAATTATATAAATTACCTATTTATATAAATCGTTCTTAAGCTGTTATTCTTATAACGCTTTGTTTATCACCATAGAAATGAATAAAATTAAATAAAAAAGATTCCCTCGTCCGCTCAGAATCGATTTTTATCGAATGCAATTTTCGCATTCAAATCGAATAATACTGTAAAATTACACTATCCTGTCCGAGGCCCGAAAGGACGATGGACAAACTTCCACATCAGAAATGCTGACCTACTTTTTTTTTCCAGATCCCAGAGTCAATGGCTGGCCGATGTTGTCCAGTCCATTTCCGACGTTGTTTATTTGTCTATTCTATGGTTACTTTGCCAAGACGCTTGGGCCAAGACTGATGGAAAACCGAAAACCTTTTCAACTTAGAAAAGTTCTCATAATTTACAATGCAATACAAACAATGTTCAGCGCTTGGATATTCTATGAAGTAAGTACATATTGCTTGCCACGTGCACTTTTTGCTAATAACTGAATATTATTGTAGATGGATTATGTGATAGGAATTTAGTGGTACATAAATTGTAATTCAAACGTGTGTTTGTGTCATTATCGTTTCCGCGTTTAATTTCCTCGTTTTGAATCTTGTCTTCATGATGCAATAGAATTARAAAACAATCAACAATATTATTTTTATCCGTCTTTTTGAATGACGACTTCTTGTTTTTATGTAAACATTTATGATATTTAAATTAAAATATTTTTTAGTTTTATACATTGTATATTTTGCTTATTACACTTAACTCTGTATACGTTTTTTTTTTTTTTTTGTAATATGCGTTTATAAATAATTTTATTATTATTGTCGTCTATGGAATATATTTTTGCAACTATAATGTCGTTACTCGTTATATGTTATATAGCTTATAACATTTTTGTAGAGTAAGGCGGTTACGTGTTACRGTTGCTATAATATTATAATTATTGTATTGGTATATTGTTATAAACAAACGACCATGACCTTTTTTCTCTAGAAATTTGCACGACTCAAATCTCTGGAATAACGGGGTATAGCTAACGCTGTGATACTTGGCTAAATTAGCTTGGTTTTCGGTTTTATTCAAATTTCAAAAACTATGATAGTTCCTATGTAAAATTTGTTATTAGGTATCTACTGTAATAAATTATATGCATATAAGCAATAGTTCCATTTATCTATATAATATACAATAGGTATGTAAATTGTATCTATAGTAAAATTATTATTTTTAATTTGATATCATGATTCGTTCTTTTTGATAATTAATATTGTTTTGTTAATGGCAATTAATTATGATTATAATTATAACCATATATAAATTAATATCAAAAATACTAATTTGTATGATTTAAAAAAAAATTGTGTTGAAGAGATAATTTTATTCATTAGACATCATATGTCTTGGATGCCATTCGGTTAAATTATAAATTAGGTCATACGAAAACGTTTGGTGTATTGTATGGGTACTGAATGATTAGGTGATGACCATTAATGCTGCAGTGTGTCCGTGTTTACAGTAGGTTTTTTATGTAATTTTTACATAAGAGTACATTTGAGTATATTTGGGTTTGGTATTACTGACTGTTGGAGTTTATGTTTTATTTATGTCTTTGTTGGTATTTTAGTTTCTAACCGCTGTTTAACGTCTATTATTGTATCTGTTAAAAAAAAAAATGGATATCAAGTAATAATACTTGAGTCGATATATCTAATCCGTTTAATGTGCTACTATAAATCAATTAAACTTCCATTTTTTTTCTTTGAAGGAATATTATAAATTATAATTTTTATTGATTTAAGCTTTTCAGAATATGTGTATAGATATAGCTATTGATATTAAAATATCAATTAAAAAAAATGATAATCTCTAGTCTTCGTGTGTTGAAAGTTGATGGAAAAAATATAAACAAAAAATAGATTTATCGCGTTTAATGGTAAAAATAAATTAAATAAAGTATGAACGCTTATAAAAATTTAATTCAAACTATTAAAATATTTTTAAAAACAGGAAAATATAT